GGATGCCTAGAATGTAATGCGTGCTCAGAAGCAGCCACTGTGAATTTGCTGAAAGCAGATCTCCTTCATGAGTGGCTACTCTTGTGGATAAGAGAGAACAAACAAATGCAACATATCTTTATTGTGGTAAAGGCTGATTGTATATTCCTGCACGTGTCAGTTCTTCCCTGCCTCTGTTGTGTAAGTGCACTAACTTCTTGGCTAAGGTACGTGTGAATGTATTTTTTCAAAAATCCTCAACAACATTGAGCAGAAGTGAATCAGGCACTGAAGATCAACCTTACAAAATCATATATATATGCAAAATTAGCAACAAGCTGAACTGATATTTAAGCAGTGAAGTGCTATCAGTAGATAGGAGAAAAAGTTGCAAATGTGGAATGCAGTGTAACTGCCAGTTGTACTTGTGGCAGTGGGATTAGTTGGTATAAGTAAATTTTAAAAATAAATATCCCCCCCATATTTAAAATAAATAAGGAGAAGGGAGAAATTCCATTCCAGCCAGCATCGTTGGGACCTCAGTAGTTGGCACTATTGTTCAAAAAAGATTTGTTGTACTGGAAAAGATCCATTGGGGGGGGGGGGGGGGCGGGAAAGAGGCTTAGGAAAAAAATCCCAAACAAGCAAACAAAAAAGCCCACCACACTACATTCATAGCAGCAATTCATCTGTTTGCTTAACATGCTTGTCTTGTGGTTGTACATGGGAACAAGTAGTTAAGTTGTCTCCTACAAGGCAGTGTTTCTCTTCCTCAGTTTTGTGGACCAGATTTTCTAGCAGCCAACCTTTAACTCCAGTATTAATGCTTGCCTGCTAGCCAGCCCATATGGTTCTGTTTCTCCCTCTAGACTAGTACGATTTGGCAAATACCAAAGCATTCAGACCCTGATTTCTTGGGCGTCTGTTCTAGCCCAAAAGCACAAATTCTGTCAACTAGAGTTGTTTTATAGTTTGAGGCTGACTTATCCTAGCTAGCTGCTGGAGGAATACGGCACTAAATCACCAAGTTGGGCACCAGCTGCCCAGTTTTACAGAAGAGCATTTGTAATTCTGTTGCACTGTTCTCTCTGCCTGTTCCTTGGCATGTCTTTGAAGAGAAAAAGGTGAGGTTCAGAGAAGCCAGTCTGCCCATCCAGATATGCTGGATTTTAAATCTGAAACCTGCCTGACAGTTAAGTTGGGAAGATAAGCAGAGCTTTCCTCTGAGTGTCTGTAAAACCTTCCTTATAAAGGAGTGGGATAAGGGATACGAAAAAGTGCTTGAGATGCATCTGCCCTTTGGAGCAGGCTGCTGTGCAGATGGAGGGAGAGGCTGGAACACAGCTTATGCAATCCTAACACATCCTGTCTTTCAAAAAGTTTGGGCTCTACATAAAGAAGGGGTTTGCTGAGAGGATGAAGTTTGGGGGAGCTTTACACCATTGGGAATCTTCTAATTGTGCCTAAGAGACTACATGCAGAAGAACATACATCCTGAAGCTGCTGTTGATCTTGTTAATTATGTTTCTATTCCTGTTGTTAAGCTTGTTTAGCCCCCCGAATGGCACACATCTAGGCCATTCTTTATGACCTACACCTTTTGTGTCATAAAGTTTCCCTTTATAATACTTCAGTCACGTTGCACCTGGTTTGCTAGGCACAGGTGAGAATAACTCATTTTCAGTACTGACCTGTATGGAGCCTGTAGCACTGTGTTCAGTTCTGGGCTCCCCAGTACAGGAGGGGAGTGGAACAGACTGGGGACAGCTGGGCAAAGTGCCTCCTGCACAATGGAGGGACTGGAGAGCCTCTCTTATGAGAGAAGTCAGAGCAGGGATTATTTCAGCTAGCCAAGAGGATGCTTGGGGGAATCTTGTCCATGTGTGCTAATACTTGAGGAGAGGATGGGAAGAAAGTAGAACCAGACTTTCCCCTGTGATGCTCGGTGGTGACAGGACAAGAAGCACTGAGCTTTATATAGTTGTGTGAAGGCTTTTACTCTTACATGTATTGAAAGACAAAGTTTTCCTAATGACTACATCTTTTAGAATAAATTTATTGGTATAAGCTATGCCCAAAGACATTTCTTATGCAGAATTTTTTATTTTACTGCAGGTGTTTTTGGAGGATATTTATTTAGTATTGGCTTGAGTGAATTTGTACTGCTTCATTTTGCATTGCAGAGATGAAAGAGCACCTGACATTAATTAAAAGCTGGCAGAAGGGGAGAAAATACAGTGGGAAAGGTCTCAAGGGTTCAGATAAGGACAGGGACATGGCTCACCAGTAATCGTCATGGGCAAAACAGACTGAGCATAAAGAGATTCATGTAATTCATTGGCAACTACTACTGAGATAATGAGAGGCCATGAGATAATAAAAGCAAACTGAAAACACCTTCACCCCCTCCCATCTTCCCCTACCTCCCACTGAGCAGTGAAGGGGACCAGGGGCAGCAGCCAGTTTATAACACTTCTCTACTGTTCCTTCCCTTTCATTTTCCTCTCTGCTCCATCGGTCCTTCCCACAGGATGCTGCCTTTCCCCAACAGATTCTGTGTGGCCCACAGGCCACAGCTCTTCAAGCCCTGCTCTCTAACATGGCTCTGTACCCTGGATCCTGATCTTCAGGAACAGTGTGGTCCAGCATGGATCTCCACAGGCAGCAGCTCCCCCAGACCTGGTGCTCCAACGTGGGCTCCTCTCCATGGGCTGCAGCTGCAGCCCAGGACCTGCTCTTGTGCAGAGGCTTTCTGTGGTCAGTTCTCCTTCAGAGCTCGTCCACTGCTGCATGTGGAGATCAGCTCTATGTGGTGTCCATAGGCTTCAAGGCAACAGCCTGCTAGTGTGTGTATCCTGGCAATTTGCATCACCAGGGCACTATAGCATCAATTGTAAGTAAGTTCCCATCTCTGTCTTTTCTTCAGCACGATGCATTCTTCCCTGCAGTCTGTGCAGTGCTGTCTTAAATGCAGTTGCTTTTGCTCACAGCAGCTGTTTGCAGAGGGGCTGAGTGCAGGGCCATGGAGAGGCTCATCAGTGCTGCTCTGGTCTCTGAAGCACTGAGTTCGCTGCATATTACCAGGAGCTGTTCTACAACTCTTCTGTGTAACCCTTCTATCTGAACAAGAGGCAGTAGCTTTGATTTTGGTGGAAATTCTTTTATTCCATTCTCTACAGTTGATTTCTGGGCCAGGTCAACCCACAACTCCTCTGATCTACTTGGACAGTCTGCTGGCACTCTTGGCTCTGTTTCATTGCGCCAGTAAAGCTGCACTGCTATTTATTTTCTGTGAATATGCAAAAGCAATCCAGAAGTGAGTCTTTTGGGTGGTATTATTAAAGTTGAGTGTGCACTGAATACATTCATGTTGTTTTAGCATTAAATAGAATAGATACATTCCTGAATGAAATTCTTTCTTCTTCATAACATAAATCAAGTGGCCAGTACTGTGGAGGCAGCTCTACACTTGGTGAGATGTTACATTAAATACATTAGGTTCTGAAGGCTGTTTAAAGCCTCTGCTTACTTCCTTCTAATCAGTGAGCCATTACAAGCTTTTGTCTGTTGTTTTCAGCACAGAGTTCTCATTACACAAGTAGCTTCCCTGGACCTTAACACACCCAGTGGTGACCTTGGGGACAATTAGACTTTCTCTCCAAGATCAGTAGCAAATTAATTTGATATAAATGCACAAGCAGCATTAGTGTTGCAACTGTGTGAGCTCCCTCAAGGAGCTGTGAAACTTCTCTATTTTCATCAATTCCTTGAAACTTAGTTTCCTAAGAGTTAGTGCTTATGCTAGAGAGATGGGCCAGTGGGAAGACCTGAAATGCCTGCAAGAGCAGATCAGTAGTTTGGGTTTGGGCTGAATTCATTTGTTAGCAGTTTGTTAGGGAATCATGGCTTTAACTCCAGAGTTTAGTACATTAAGCTTAAACATGCACCAATATCTGAGGGAACAGGGCATCATCTGCCTGTTAAAACGTTTTACAATGTTAACAATCTCTTCTTATTCTCATCTGTGGGAAGGAAAACGCTAGTAAATGCTACCAGGTTTTCCTCTGCATTCTCAGTGCAGAGTTACCTGTCTTGACAACAAAGGGAGCACATCCAGAAATGGGAAAGTAATGATGCAGGCATCCAGAAGAATTCCTAGAAGCAGGTAGTGCAGAATTTGTAGTCATCGAAGGGCAGGGAGGCTGGCTGCAGACTCTGGGCTTATGAATATACATAATGGTCTGTTTATGGTAAATGGCAGCCTTTCCAACCTGTTTGTATTTAAATAGCACTGTAAAACCTTACATTGCTCCTCTGATAAGATGTAACTGTTTCTGTGACTAGGGCAGAGAGCCAAAGCCACTTTGTTTTTATCAGATATGCTTCCTGTTCAGGGACACGCTGAGTGAAAGAACACAAAGCCTTTCCCTGCCAGGTCACTATTACTTATGAATTCAGATTGTCATCTGAAGTGTTGTCTGCTTCTATAAGAACAGAAGAAACGTTAGAGCTGTTGGCATAGGGGTGCCAACATTTCCAGTTGGAAATTAATGTTACTGAGGGATGTGTCAGAACAATAGTGCACACAGTGTCTATCAGTGCAGCTCCTGGGAGATGGCTCTTGGGGCAGGTTCCCATATTGAGTTATGCTGGATACTGCATCAAAGCTTTTCAAAAAGATGGAAATTTGGCAGGTTTAGCATTGTATGCTTAAAAAGAAACAATTAGCTGGATTTGTGTCTGATTGCTGAGACTGAATGTTAGGAAATGGAAGGGAGTGTGTGGACACTGGAGCATGCTCCTTAGGGAAGTAGTCACTGCATCAAGCCTGATGGGGTTCAGGGAGTGTTCAGATGATGCTCTCAGAAAGATGGTTGGATTTTGGGTGGTTCTGTGTGAAGCCAGGAGTTAGTGATCCTTGTGGATCCCTTCCATCTCACATTACTCTATGATTCCATGATTCTGTACCATGTGAATTGAATTGTTTATTTAAGTTGGCTTTTTTTTCTACTTGTTTACAGGTTGCATGGTCGGTACCATGAAATGGCACCAAACGTTGTGCCCATGGACTATACAAAGGATCCTGATGTTAAACTACCTATGCAGCTTATAATAAACATGCCTGAGCTAAAGGTAAGGCTTCTAACTGCTTACAAACTGCACCTTGTTAGCTCTGTAAATTGACTGCCAGAGGTTTTGCCATTAAATTTGGTGCCTTGAAACAGTGTGGCAACCAAGGTCTTTCCTTTGCTGTTACTGTTCAAGGGCGTAGCCAGGCACAGAAATGGCAAAATATTTAGGTGGATGTTTCTCTTGCATAGGTAGTTGGAACAGAAAAGGAAATGAGGAGGAATAAAACTATGTTTTATACTCTTTCCACCTTGTATATAGTGTCCTTTAGAAGCCAGTGGGTTTGACTGGCTTGTTTTGCTAATGATTCCCTTACTGGCATTGCTTAGTTTAAGAATATAATGAGTATGTACTTCTTTGTTGTTTAAATACTTACAGAAATGAAACCTATGATGTGATACAGGCTTCTCCTAGAATTTATAAAATGTTTCTTTCATCAATTGGTTGAGAGCTGTGCAGCTGTTGAACTCCCAAAGCTATGTAGCTCCTAAGGCTGAACAGTCCAGCTCTGGGTTGGTTTCTTACCAGCTGTTTGCATCGTCTGTGTCCTTGACACACTCAGTGTCCTTGACTGCCAGGGGGTATCAGTGTAATTCTGTCCTCTGCAGCTTACAGAGCTGACCTTCCTAGCTCATCTTAATGAAAAGAATGACATTTAATAAATCATGTAGGTGCTGGAGTTTAAACAAAAATTATGCTCTGTCCATTATGTTGCTCTGTGTGAAGTAGAAACGGGATAGTTAGTAGCGTAATTCTAGGTTTGTTTATTAATGAGATGCTAATAGCAGCTACAGCATTCCATAAACCATTCGTTTCCAACGTTGTGTGTGCAAATGTGTTGAAATATCTATTAAAGACCCTAAGTTATGTGCCTGTGTAGTTAATGAAGAAGAAACTGCATCCGGAAAAGTAATTATGGACTTTGAAAATAGATGGTATAAAGATCTTGCTGAAATGTTCTTTTCAGTTCATCAATGCGTAAAATATCTGATTGAACATTAACTGTTCAGATATCATATAAATATTTCAAAAATTTTATATAACACAAATTTTGGCTTGCTTTTTTTTCTTATACAAATAAAGAAATTAGGCAAATCTGGAAAAGTCTGCAGTACTTTGCAGAGGTGCCCTGTATTTTACATACCTCAAACTGAATCCCAAGTGGAGATTGCAACACCAATTTCTAAGCTGATTATCCAGAATTAGATTGTTTAAAATGTAATTAGACATCTAAATCAGGAGCCTGAGGGAAGTTCTAGCACAAGCAGACTTAATTGGGCCCATCGGCTCTATGATGATGCATATTGTTAAATAGGTAATGGAGCTAAAAGTTGGGAATTACAAGGCTTTCTCTAAGCCTTCTTTTTCCTCATAGGTTCAGCTGAATAATAATAGCAGGTGAACAAAAAGAGAGCAATTATGTACTACTTTTCAAAAGGACAAGGAGGTATTTCATGAAGTTATCAGGTAGATGGCTGACACAGCACGTGAAAATATCGAGGAACTCATTACCACGAGACATTCTGGAGACAGCATGAATGTCATAAAAAATGATTTAAGTGCTTTTATAGAGCAGAATTCCACAGTTGCTGATAAGTTTTATGGTTTGTATGTGATCTCTAACTCTGGAAGTCTCCCAGATATCCGTTGTACTCGCCTTTCTGAAAACGCTTTCCCTTATCTGCTATGGTTCCCAGTTAGAATTAGGCTGGTGATCTGGATGAACTGATAATTATGATAGTTGCTGTGTTCTACTTTTTTTTTCTTCCCCTTAGAGGCAATCCATAGACCAGATGAATTTATTTTTAAGGTCCCTATGAGATTTGTCTGAGATTATTTAATTAAAAGGACTTACTCGTAGCAATAAGCAAGAGCCAATTAGATGATGCTTACCAGCTAGGACAAAATGAAGATTATTTTTGTTGAAATAGGATTATTTACTGAAATGCTGACATGTTGAATGGGCAGACATATATGAAAGTGTAAATTAGTATACAGTATCACAAATAACTAATGGTCTTACCTGTGTGAATGTGAAGTAATTGGATTTTTCCAATTTATCCTGGCAGGATAAAATAGCCTGTGCTTCACAGCACTGTGGGAGTACTTTGATTGTATTAAGCCAGCTAGCCAGCTATTTTTGCTTATACTTGAATTTGCATTTTTATCTTTGTAATTAAAATCCATCTTCCTTAAGGGGTTTTGATTCACTCATCCACTGTTGCAAGTAGTTTTATCTCTCTTTAGCAGGTCACGTCTTATTCACTGCTTTAGTGTCTTAGGTGTTTGTACCGGTGCTTCTGGTGTGGAAGATCACTGTTTCTGAAGTTTTATTTTATTACTGAGCCTGAATCTCTAGGACATTGGTAATGCAATATGAACTGCTCTGCCTCGGTTATGTAGCTCTTAGGAAGCCCTTAACTGCCAGATGGCCAGTATTTGCTTTGTGAGAAATCCAGACAGGTTGATTTCAGCTTTCAGTTCAGAAAAGACAGTGAATAGTGATAATCACACATGTGGTTTTATTTGCTTTACTGATGTAGGATCAGACACTTAGGAAACCGTTGATTCTATGAAAACATTGACTGCTATGTTTGCAGGACAGCAGAATGTTTAAACTGAGATAGAAAATGTAAGTTTCGTTTTGAACCATAATTCGATTTTCAGATACAAGAGCGTATCTTGCTGCCATAGCAAACATAGGTGGTAAAGGGAACAGATTAAAGAAGTGTATTTAAAGTGGATCAAAATTGATCTTCTTGCACCCCTTCAAGTCTGTGAAGCTTTCTGATCCAGCTTTAGAATACATCATGAGGGAAATTGAACTTGATTTTATGCCAGCAACAGGACAAAATTTGCTGTCAAATTTAATAATTCTCTCACAGATCTCAAGAGATGTGGAAGACTTCAGAAATATTGCTGATTAACCACTCATTTCAGGAACAGAGTTTGTAAGAGTTCATAGTGAGCTTGTTTCCAGTAAAATAACAGTCAAATGAAGATAATAGATCTTACTTCCCTCCCCTGCCCCACCGTGTCTTTCAAAATATTATCAGTACAGGATTTTAAAATGCCAGCAAGGTTATCAGCCATAAACCTGCACCAGCTGTGGTCACTATGGATTTTACTACTTCCTATACAGATGAGGAGAAAGAAGTCTTTCATGCAGAGTTCATTTTCCAAGCAATGTGGTTATTTACTGTAGTTAATAAGGAAAAAAAAAAAAGTCCTTAAGCTTTCCAACTTTTCCAGACTGCTAAACAAATTGTTCGTGTTGGTTCTTGAGTAAGTTCTCATCAAGACAGAGACTAAAATGATGTTTGAATCCCAAAATAGAAACAAACAAACTAAATGTCTATTGAATTTTAATAAAATTAGTGATAATTTCAATGCACCTGGCTTTTTTCATATGCACATTACACTTCTAGTTACTGGCAATGTTCAGCTCAATACCACTGCAGATTCTGACAAATGGATAGAATCAATAATGCACTTTTCTAAATTAGATTCTGCTAGTATAAAGAAGCATCTTTACTTCACGCATTAATGTTTTGAGCCAGGGTGAATTTAAATATGATACCTATGTTTCAAAGAAGAACTTACTTAAATTGGTAATGAATTTTTCACTAATTCATGGTTCTTAAGTTGAAAGTCAGGGCAAGCGATAAATAAGTAAAGAAGGGGCAGATACTTTAAGTTGATTAGGTCTACCATTACACTGAAGTTAGCAGATCTAGTTTACTCCAACTGTTTTGTTGTAGTTTCTGTTCTCTAATTTTGACCATTGTGGTTACACGGGCAAATATATCTACTAAATTAATGAGTATATAAGCCTAGCTGAGATTACAGTAATTAATACTGCAAATATGTGGCAACAGTATGAGCTGCTCAGTGTGAAGCCATGTAACAAGGGAAGATTGTTTCAAAACAAAGCTGATTTCACTTGCCTTATCTCTGTCATTTTTTCATAGCTGGATGTAGGAATGTAGGCTGATCATAGAGGTCATGTATGATCTGTAGAAGTGCACGTGTGGCCATTGTCATTGTGGTGTATATGTCCCTAATAGAAGCTTCAAGCTGGTATCTGGTGATGCAGCAGTCTTTGTGTCAAGAGTAGAGTAGGTTATAAAAGGGCTTTCTGGAGGGGAACGATTTTTGCTACGCTCACTTTACAGTCTGCTGCTTTCCACTTTTGTCTCGTGCTCTGACTTCATTGATCCTCACAGGCCTTGTCATTCACTGCAGTGGTGAGTGAGGTAGTTCATAAATCCACACACGGCTGAAACAGAATGAGCAGCAGGCACAGGAATCAGTCAGGAGGAAGAAAGGACACACAGGGAACAGTGTTGGTCACCTTTCAGAATCAAAGTTTGCACCTTATTTTTTATGGGTTTGAGCATGAATGCATGCATGGTGCTTCGAAATAAAATAAAACCATTTCCTGTGATTTTAAGCAGTGCTTTGCAGACTGCTTTGTGTGCTTGGGCATCTCTGCTAGTGTCACTTGCATGAAAATCCCAAAGTAAAGGCCAGTTTATGCGGATGTAAAACTGAGAAGCATTTTGTAGTGACTGCTCAGCCTCTCTGGCTTAGTTATCTTAACCTAAGGAGAATTATTTCAGATTTATTTGGAACATCTTACTTCTAAAACACAGTTTGTACTAAAAGGATACTGTGCTTGAAATTAATTGGTCAAGCCACAAGATGATTGAGAAATGGGTGAGGCAAGAGGACACACAGTGTCATGTACATGGTATGTTTTTTTCACACCTCTGGTGGAAGTGAGAGCAAGGTGTGAGTAATAAACGACATGGTAAGATTTGACTACAACCCGTGGCACGAGGCCAGTGATAGTATTCATAGTCATGGAATGGCCTGGGTTGAAAAGGACCACAGTGACCATCCAGTTCCAACCCTGCGCTATGTGCATGGTCACCAACCACCAGACCAGGCTGCCAGAGCCACATCCAGCCTGGTTTTTTTGTTGTTAGAAAACTAGTCACCATGATTGATCATATTGTGTTCTAAGTCCTTACGCCAGAATAGATGTGATGGTGCGTTAAAAATATGTAGAAATACGGCTGTCTAACTAGAAAAGGCAATGGTTAAGAAGATAGATAGCTTTTACAAGAATTATCTCAAGTGGCTTCAACATCAGCAATCTGCAAAACAGCTGAGTTTCAGCTGTAATAGTTCTTCATCGTTTCTGCCTCATTTTTATTGTAAGAGGATGGAAAAAGCTTCTTAACAAGACAAATGTAGGTTTTCTGTTGTAAAAGGGTTCTTTCTCAAACAATTAGTACTTGAAGGAAAACGATCTATGAAGGAACAGTATCATTTTCCCCATTGCTCCCTCCCCCCCATGTCTTTTCCTTTAAATATGATGGAACCTTAATCTGTGCTCTTTGGAGCAGAGGTAATGAAATTACAGAAAGGATGTGAAAAGTATCTGTGAAGGTAAACTAATACTTTCCATTGTGTAAACTACAGATATACTGCCTGAAGACACACAATATGAGAAAGTTAAAGGAAAGGAATCAATATGAGGAAAGATTTTATTTTTCATTTAGATTTTAGAGATGCATTTGGCAAAGAGTTACTTAAGAAATATACCCAGGTCCTTTTAATTCATTGCTGGTATTTTCAAGGCCTCTAACATGTCAAGTAGTTAATTCATCTTATGCAACCACAGTGTACTTAGTGAGATCATGGCTGGCACTTGGAACGAGGAAGTCCTGGGTCTGATATTCACTGCTGATAGGGATATTTGCATCTGTGTGGTCCTTGTTTGTTATTCAGGGCTGCCTCTAAGCTGTCAGTTTATAGCTGTTGCCATGACACCTAGTTCTGATGGGGTCAGTTCTGAAGGGAGTGATGTAGCGTTATAGAAATCAGAGCAATAGCATTTCTAACTTTTTGTTGTTGTACTGAGCATTCCCTAATATTTACACGTTTAACAGATACATTCTTATGTATGTGTTTTGAGGAAGAGAGTGGGACGAATTGAATCCTGCTTTGTCTTGCTGATAAGCTGACCACTGAAAAACAATTGAAACAACAAAATCAACCATTTTTTCTGGAGCAACTCTCCATATCCGTGTTCACAGATTCAAGGACAGGGGTATTTCCAAGCTCTCAAGTCAGATACTCTTTTCAGTACCCACTGATGCATTTTATTTTTCACTGGCCTATTTTTTTCTCATCTGAGCAGTGAGTTCAGCCTCATGTATGAAGCTCAGAGCACAGTGAGGTTGTTAATCTTTACCCTTTGAAGACTGTAGGAATGTTTCTTATTTTGAAGTTGTTCACTCTGTAAGCCATGCAGCAGAATTTTAATGTATTATTGACTGACTTAATGGTCTGTCATTTGGGACCATGACTCTGTGGTTTCTACTTTAGCTATCTTTTAAAACAACTTTAATCTTCGCCATTATCTCAGCCAGAAAGGTTGGAGTTATCTTGGCATTTAGGAGTGCTGAAATCTCTGGTCTTCATGATTGTTCTGAGAAATTACAATTCTGAATTTGATTTCTGAGAACTCACCTACCCACAAAAGGTTGACAGACACAATTGTGCTGTTGGATGGCTGTTTGCCTTTTGGCAGACTCCCATTGCTACCATGGAAGGGAGTCCTGGAGTGCAAACTGCGAGGCTCAGGGGCATCTCATTAGGTAGTTAATGTATGTTGAGACCTACACTGCCATTAGGTTGCAGTCTCCTAATGGATCAGGTATGCTCTGAGGATGTGAATAATCCTTTTAGCTTTTTTATGCAAGTATCTCAAAGTTGCAGCCGGTAAAGCTGCCAAAATGTGCTCTTACATTTCCAGGGTGGTTTGACTTGCCAAATGTACTTAGATGCAAGACAGGCTTTTTCAAACCAGGCCTTATACCCAAATGCCTCTCCATTTCTCTGTAATTGCATCTTGGAACAGGCTGCAAGGAGTCATCCAGTGGTGAGTCCACACATGACCAGTCACCTGAAGAAGAAAGGAATGCTGCTTTCCAGGAACTAGATGTTCTTTGAAATGTTATTTATGTGCACAGCCACAACTCACTATCGTTTCTTATGCTGATCTTTTAACGAGAATCCTTAAAATTAAAATGGGTGGAAAATGGCGTGTTGCATGTAACGTGTAACTGACACATGAAGAAGGACACAGGGGAAAACTTTCATGGCCATTACTGCAGCTAAGAAGTCTGTGATATGATCTCTTAGTATGAACAGGCAGATTTACAGTGTTCTCAAGGAATGGTGATTTTCCTGGAACTTAGCTAGAATTCTTCATTAGAATGTGTATCACAGAATCTAGACATTTGGATTCTACCGGGCTGTGTCCTCAAACACAATAGGCTTGTGCTATTGATTATGCTAAATGTAAAACATCAAAGTACCTCACAAGAACTGGGCTATGTACTACTAACACACAGCTGTCTCTGAAGTTAAATTCAACAACTTTTAATGATGTGCAGCAGCTTAAAAGAAGAGCTAAAGATAACGATGTCCAATTGAAATCACAAAGGAAATTTGGAAACACAATGATCAGTATTTTGATTGGCATCTTTGACTTCAGACGGGATCTGTAGAACAGCCTTGGCCAGATGCCCCTCGCAGTTCAGATCACGTTCATGGATTCTATTCCCACTCAGTTGAATTGATTTGTAGCTATTTTATAGAAATAACTGCAAATTCATCTTAGTTTTTATACAGATGTGGGAAATACATTGTTTTGTTACTATGGAAAGATGTTGTTTTGTTGCTGTAAAAGCTTTTTTTTTTTTTTTTTAATACTTCAGAGCAGTAAAGCAACTTCTCTGTGCTTGCTGGCTCTTGTGTTTATGGTTTTAGGATACTGCCTTTTGAGAGTGGTGTTGTTACCAACTGCATTGGTAAGGTGCTGGAATAGGATCTTAGAATCATCTCTGAAGAGATGAAATTTAGTTTAAAATTCTAGAATTCAGATTCATTTCAACCAGAGGTTGGATATTTTTGTATAGCAGTGAAAATGAAAGACCTTTCTACAGGATGCTACTAGGGATGCGACCTCTACATCCTTAATAAACAGGCTTGGTTTGTTTGATGGTTCATTGGTGGTTCTGCATTAAGCAGATAGGTAGCTATGCTTACTTCTTACAATGCTTTCATAAACAGTAATCATTCCTCCAGCCTTGGGTCAGGTGCTGGCAGAGGTATAAAGTCTCCATTTGTTTTATTGACTTTCTCCTTATTTTCTTCTGCTATCATCCAGTCTGTATCTACTAGCTTCATAATGCAGGACCAGTAATTCTCTTGACTTTATTAGTATGACAGCTTGTCAGGAAGCAATTTTATGCAAATGGTGTTCACACTCTTAGTACCTTTATTCTAACATTTATAAAGCAGGTCTACTCTCAAGAGAAATGAAGTCAACACCAGTATAGAGAAAATGAGTAACAATGGAGCTGAGAAAATCTAGGCAAGAAGCAGTAATGTGCAGCAGCATGCTTTACTGACACTTTGTGCCCTAACATGCAAATGTAAGCTTTCGGATGCATTTTGGAGGAAAAAAGTTATCTGCAAGAAGAGATCTTCAAACAACTAACGACTATTTGTTTGGCAAGGTTTATGCACATTTGCTGATATTCCAAATAGGTGTTACTGTTTTTTTTATTTGTTTTAAGTAATAAAAGGTTTGTATTTACAGGAGAATCCCTTTAAGGAAAGAATTGTGGAATCTTTCTCGGAAGACGGAGAGGGGAGCCTCAGCTTCAATGATTTTGTGGACATGTTCTCTGTGCTCAGTGAAATGGCTCCCAGAGAGCTCAAAGCTATCTATGCCTTTAAGATCTATGGTAATGTACTGAGATAGTTTTGTATGTCTTTGCTGAAAATAAATGTGAGAGTTGCCAGTGATCTTTTCTTTGCTTCTTTCACTCTTCAGATTTTAACACAGATAACTTCATTTGTAAAGCAGACCTGGAACAAACCCTCAATAAGCTGACCCGAGAAGAGCTAACAGCAGAAGAAATCACTCTGGTTTGTGAGAAAGTGATAGAAGAAGCTGACATGGATGGTGATGGCAAATTAGGATTTGCAGATTTTGAAAACATGATTTCCAAAGCACCGGACTTTCTCAGGTATGGAGACAAAGACTGTCACTTTGCCTATTTTCAGGTATTCTTTCTGGCTGTTGGCTGTGTAGCGTAGTGTAAGAAATATCAGGATAAGAGAACTGAGTTTTGCTGAGGAGCCTGGAGGATGTCTTCTTACCCTAACTCAATTTAATTCTCCAGAGCCTACTCCAGTTCTGTCCTAACTTAAGACTAAGAGCTCAGTGACTCAGTTATCCCCTCCTTTTTTTCTGTCTGTATCTGTGTGAATTTTTCAGGAATATATTTTCATCTTCTGGAAGCTCAAACACATACAGTTTTCAACCAGGGGTCCCTGTTGCATAGGAACCCATCCAGTGTGCCAGGATTTTTATGTATTGATTTTTAAACAAAATTACAGATGTCATGGCTGCTTCTGGAGAGGATTGCCAAAGCTCACAGTCAAATGGACTTATTTCCATAGGAAACAAGACCGAATGTTAGAACTGAGTTGAAGTAGATTAAAATTTGGATTGATAATCTTGATGCTAATGGTGATTAAGAACTTTGATGTGTCCTGAAAAATACAGGAGAGTTTTTTTTCTACAATAAATTAAATTTCTAAGGAAAAACATTGTGAGGCAATGGTTCTGCTGTAAAGTGTGAGGTCCCTGTGGATCCCAGGAAGCATCAGCATCTGAGGATGATATTCTGGAAAGTCAATATGAGTGTCTTCTATACATTAGAAATATATCAGGCACTCCTTGACTAATCAAACTTACCAACAGGCACTCTGTTGGAACAAGATATATGTCATCATTATAGTGAGATTGGACTGAGTATATGTAATATTTTGTTAGCATGTATTTATAGCAAAAAAAACCCAAACATTTTCTGCAGACTGGTCTTCTGTATAGAAGCTGCTGGGATCAGGTAGAATTTCATTTATTCAATGAAAAGGCTGTGCTGTACCTATAGAGCTGGTAGATAGCACAGATCAAATGTGAAGAATAGAAGGCAGATGTGAAGAGTCAGCAGAAGCTGTAGTTTCAGAGGTTTCCTGTGCCATGACAGATTTTACTGCTGTGTTGTAGAAGCAGTTTGCAAGCTATGATGTGAAAAGATATGAAAACCTTTTTTCATCTTGGTGAAATTGTCCCTTTTGAAAGTCTTTAGCAGATGAATGAGAGAACTGCCAACCTATCCGTGTCCAGAGACAGCTGTGATTTCATCTGTTTTTGCATATCTCCTTTTTTTGTGCCCAGCTGAATACATTCCAAACTTTAATTTCAAGGAAATGGGAATACTTACTGATTAATACTTTCAGTTGCTTATCAGCTCTGAAAATTAGACACTTTGCATTAAAGCAACGGTCGCTTTTAAGAACTGGTTGCTGATGAGCTATGGGAGATGTTGGATAACTATAGTACTCAGAAACTTTGTTTTGAAGCTGTAGGCAATCAGCATTTCTGAACACTGTATCCTAGAATACCACATTGGTGCCTAGTATGTGTTTCTGCAGAAAACGTTAAGTAATCTTCCAGATCTCAGATTGTTTCTGTTGGCAGTGAAGAAATTCTTTATTCTCTTTTCTTTACCCTTACTCCGTACAAAGAGCCACTTCTTCACATTGTAAGAGTATGAAGCTTAGGATGCAAGGTAGAAACCTGTGGCTTTGCCACTGCTTCAACATGTGTTCTCTGCAAAACCATTTGTCATACAACATCTGTCATACAACTCCGTCTTCTTTATTTTGCTAAATGAGTCCCGTGCTTGCCTGACTTTTGGCAAACATGGGAAACTTTTATAATATGTTCTATTCAAATGTAAAATCTCATTACTGAAGAAGAATATCTTCTTTGCCTTATTGATAGGAATGTTCAAAGGTTTTCCTTTGCATACTCCATTTTTGGAGCACTTATTTCACAGAGCTCAATATACCAATTTATTTTTTCTAAGCTGCAGTACAGTTATACGTACTTAATACATGCAGCAGGCATTAATTTTGACACCATGATCCAGGCTTGTACTTGATATGAGCTCAAGTTCACCCATTGTACGTTGACTGATTTTTTTTCCTCATGTCACCGCTTCCTTTGTTTATGATGCTGTTCAGGTTTAATCCCTTACAGACAACCTTTGCAAGGTTTGTGCTGTTGTCAGGCAAATGAAAATGCTCTTGTTTGTTGCTTGATTTGTGCTGCTGATGTTGATGACTTTTTGTAGAAGCTAGAAGACGACACTGCTCATTGTTGACCAAGGTAGATATATATGCATTTTTGACTGTTATTCTGGAAGCTTGAGTAAGTTATAAATAAATGATAGTTGCTAGTTCCGAGAATTTGATTTCAGTAGGTTTCAAAATTGTTCTCATTTAGAAGCTGCTTGTAGTGCAATGGAAGCATTTGGACTCTGAGCTGGCATTAGCGAAGTGTTCTGTTCTACAAGACTGGTTACATTTTCCCCAGGAAATTGGTTTATAAATCATCATGGAAGTTTAAGCTTATTCGAAGGCCTGAGGGTGAAACATACTATAACAATCTGAAATGGAGCTTGAGAAGAATATGGCATTAGTAACACCTGGGAGCTGACAAACCTGAGCAGTGAGACAACATATGAAACAAAAAGATGTCATTGTAAATATGCTATTCTGAACTATGTGGGCCTTTACTCCTCTAACAGCTGATATCCTGATTCTTGTCCTATCCAAAGCTGAAGGGGCAGCAACTATGTCTTAGATTCTGTGCATTCTGTAAGACCTTTTCTAAAGTGCAGATGATCTAGTTCCTAAAGACTAAAATCAGAGCTAGTGACAAATTGGCAGGAGATTATTAGTGAGAAAACAGTAGCAAGAAATCACTTTTATCAGTGTTGTCTTATTAGTAAAATGCTTAATTTTCAAAGTTCAGAATGATACCCAGAAATACAAAAATAGTCTTGGACTTAGCAAGAGAAGCATCACCTTTATCTGCCTAGTTTGATCTGCTTAGGAACCCAAATGCTGTGCAACAGCCTAAGTGCAATTGGGAAACATTTTGCTTTGCTGTATATCCAATAAATAAGTCAATTGACACTTGATTTAATCCAGTGCTCTGCTTGGACCTCTAATCAAATAATTTCAGAAGATGGAGGTTTCTCTTCACGTATGTCAATCTTCCTGAGAGCCTGAGAGAAGGCTTGCTGTGCTGGCAAGTAGTTAACAGAAATGCCTTGTCTAACTGTGGATTTTAACTGTCCTGGAGAAGGAGACAACGTGCAGTGTAAATGATAAGTCTATATTCTGCAGTTGGCATACGAATCAGAAAATAAGCAGTCGTTCTTGTTTTATTCTTTATTCTATTACAGAAAGATCTGAGGTTTCCAGCCCTAGTTTCTAGCTTTAGCTCATTCTAAAAACTGAGCACATTTGCAGATCTGAGATCTGCACCACAAATTTTTGTCTACATCTTTCCTGCACTAAATCTGATCTTTTCTGAGGATGTTATCAGTATCTCCTTGTACATATATCTTGTTGTAGAATAAACTCTTATATAAAAGAAATATTATCAGTACCTCTGAATTTCCGTAGTTACTCTCTTACACACAGAGAGAGGGTTATTCTAAACAGCATTCTTTCTTTCTGACAGGCTAATTGAACTTTATGTGATTCAAGGGAGCATTCTGACTTACCTAAGTTTGCCATCTCTGTCTGCAACCAGAATTCAAGTCCTTTTAATTACAGAATCTAATTCACAGAACAATACTTTGCAAATAAGGACAGCACATTTGAGAAATGCTTGCAGCTCAACTGCAGTAAAACATAGACACAGTCTGTAAAATGACGTTGTGAAGAGCTGAATTACTGCTGTTTGGTGAAATTGTGGAGATGATACTGCTGGTATGATAATGCTGAAAGACCAAAAAGTTACCTTAGTTTTGTTTTTCAAGTGGTATTACCATCCTGTATCCTCATCACTACTGCAGATTTACCAGCTGCTTGGTTCAACCTTCTGCTTACTGAACGTGAAGTCAACACTGACTTCACTGACTGTCAGATTCTGATTTCCTGTGTTAGATAGTAAGTGGCCTTTGTTAATGCTGTGATAGGTTGCACCAGAGGCTTGATCAGTAGCAGTTTTCTGGAAGTTTCCTCAAATAAATATTGTACTATTGTATGTCACAAGAAAAGTGAGAATGTTCCCATCACAACAAAATGGTAGTAATTTTGGGGATAAATATGAAGTCTCTTCACTGTTAAAGTCGAGTAGCTGAGATGCAGGCCTGCGGATTGACTTTTGGGTCATTGTCAAGAACTCAGCCTCTGTATGAATATCAGCATTCCTTGCTTTTGGAGTAGCTTCCATAGGTAATTTCTTACATTAAGTAAAGAACTTGTTGCCGTAAGCGCCTGTTCTGTATTCCTGGGAGACCGCAGCTTGGCCAATTACCGAGGTGACACCAATGTGGTGAACAGCAAATGGCGTTTATTACACGTATACACTACCTTATATAGCCTAAGTACTTCGTCTACGCCCCTAAGGGCACGCACCACACATCAATCATAGAGCAGGGAGGGGGCCTAACACGTCACAACCCACGGGGGGGTCTCGCAGTCTCGCAGTTGCTGACAACATCTCCCCCCCCCCCCCTCCATGCTCAAGAAAGTCTACTACAACTCGAGAGGACCCTAACCGCGTACAACCCGAAATCCCCGCATGGTGCCTATACATGCCATTGTCCTCTCGGTTAAGCCTTGCCCCGTTACATCCCGATTCGCAAAATAATCCTACCCTAATAACCCTACAATACTAGTAAAGTTATAGACAGAGAGATTAGAGATTAGAGTAATTGCTGATAGCTCTAGTGGCACTATCTATGCCCAATATATACCAACGTTGTCTCAGGTACCTGTTGGAAAGTACCTCAAAAATAAGAAACATCTGTTCAATATCAAGGCAGATGTCTCAAGCCTTGAGAGCATTGCTCTCACAAACCTGCTGTATGGAATTGCTTGTTCTCCAGGCCTCAATTTGGCCACTTGTCCCTGAAGGGAACCTATTCTAATGCCCACAATGTATACTGCACTGGCTTAAGAACCATGCACATCAGATTTGTTACATGCAGAAAGAGAAGGCCTAATACTGTCAGGATTTCTAATGCATTTAAAGCAAGGAGTGATTTCAATCCCTGTTTCTCTACACAATCTATCAGGTGTGTGATGTCTTTCCGATTGAGGGATACCCCTCCCGGACCTCTGTTACTGTTCCCTACTACCAGGAAGATCTCTAGTACTTTTCCTTCCTCTATCAGGCTAGATCTAAACTTCCCACAATCTGTTAGTGCATCTCTCTTAACTCCCAAATGCAAATTCACCTCTCTCCTTTCGCTATCCTGTTCAGCCACAGCTGGAAGCTGCGAGCTCCGCACCGCTCCCACTGTGCCCATCTCCCTTTGATCATACACTGACTGTTGTAGAGGCTTCTGATTGGTTGCATGCGCACTCAATCTTGTAAAAGGATATGGTGGGTCGAGTCAATGGGTCTGAACACTGTGGCAGAGAGTGGGTCCGGAGACTATCGTTATTTCTTTCTCTGTCGGGTGTAACCTGAGCAGAGGGCGCCGGCCGGACGCCACCTACACCTTCAGGTGCAGTCAGAGTGGACAGTGCTGGCCGTACACTATCATCCGAGCACCTGTAAGTTACATCGCTTCCCTTTCTCTCTGCTGTTTTTTCTTCTACCGCTTCTCTAACTTTTGACCAATCCGTACCCAGGCCTTGCCCGCAGTCCCCACCCCCCTGGGTGTTACTGCATTCCACCTCCTGAGAGGAGACAGCAAGTGTCCCATCCCAGCTCACTTCTCCCCCTGCCCCCACAAGTGGTATTGAATTACACAGAGAAGGATACAGCGGTTGTCCTGGATACGGCTGAGAAGTTTCAGTGACCTTGGATTCCTGCACTTGAGCCGTTTTGCAAGATAAAAGTGCAGACAGTTCAGCGCAGTCTTCTTCTATTTGTTTATGCGAAGCTGAATCCGAGGGGGCGGTGAAGGGGGATGCCGATGGTGCAGACAAGATGTTAGTAGTCATAGCTGAGGGCATATTTGCGGTGTTCTCTTCCTCAGGGGACCTGCAAGAAAGCACGCTCCCCGCACAAGTAAGCATAATCCTGCCCAAGAGGCGCTCCCCCATTCCCATGGTTAACGCCACTGTGGGCGAGGGGCTCACTGAGGTACGGGACCCCGATCTTGGGTAGGCAGAGCCGCATTGTCTGGCCCATTTGGTGTTCCCGGGGAGGGGCCCTGGGCCTACGGCACCCTCCCATCCTCGTTTCCCTGCAGCACTATGACAAACTTCCAACATTGGTGTGCAACATGTCCAGCTCCGCCACATAATTGGCACCGCCTCTCCGGTCCCTGTGAACCACCCTGCCCCGTCTTCTCAGGGCACTGCGCCTTGAAGTGACCACGCTGCCCACACTTAAAGCATGGGCCTTTATCCCTTTCTTCCCCGACCTGAGTGGCTGACATCACCGCGGTCTTAACCGCAGAACTAACTGAAGCAGCCATCCCCTGCATGGCGGCTGCTAGTCCCTCATAAGTTAATGGTATGACCCTCTGATGATCTAGTACATACTTAATAAGCTCCCCTGGGGTAGTTAGAGTTCCCGGTGCTGCTCTGATGATTTGCTGGATGTCCGGCAGCGATTTCTGCTTAAGACAATCTATTATGACTGGCGATTGGACCTCCCGTGGGAGATCAGATCCCTCCACTGCACGGATCAGGCGATTCGCAAAATCAGAAAATGACTCAGAGGGGCCCTGCTTGATTTCTGCCCATGGAAGCACAGGTTCCGCAACCTTAGCCAATTCTCGCAGGGCTTGAAGAGCTGCAGTTGTAACGGCTGCCAGCTCTCCTGCTCTAAGCAATGCTGCTTGGCCCTCCGGGGATCCTACCATTCCATCTGCCAGGCCCTGAAGACGTGCAAGATTAGTTCTATCGCCTCTGCGCTGGCCGTTGGCTGGATGGTGGGGGTCACGGGTGGCAGCAGCCACCACAGCTTGAAGTAGTCTATTCCATTCATCGTACCACAGGGTGTATTGTACAGGCTCAAGAATAACATGCATAAGGTTCACCACATCATATGGCAAGAGACTAGAAGCCATGAGAGCTTCCACTGCTGCCATGGTAACAGGGGAACGCAGACCTTTGCTTTTAACTAAATCCGAAAGGCGAATAATCGCTTTGGAATCCAGATGAGTCCAAGCTGGACCCTCTGGTTTTACCACCACCAGGAGACTAAGCGCGGTACCTGCTGGATCTGCGGCTCGTAAGTCTTCTCTCACACGAGCCCAATCAGTGAGGGTAGGCGGGCCCCATGAAGCTGTCGATACGGGACCATGCCTCTCCTGAGCGGACCCCGGGGCCATCCCCGTCGGAACGCCCCCCCCACAGCAAAGCTGTGCGGGACAATCCACGCCCCTCGGGGGGTGGCCGCCGTAGCAAGCGGAATCGGGCAGTAGGTGAGTCCCGCCCCCGCTGCCGCATTCCACAGGTCGCACCACAACTCCTCCAGACATCTCTCCCTCCCCAAGGACCCTCTTATCAATTGTGCTAAAAGTTATACTGCATTCCTCCACAGGCCCCCCTCTCCCTTTATCTTTAAAGGGCTTAAGTGAAGGATATAAGCTGCAAGCCGGGTAAGGAGATGGGTCCTCCTCTTTATGGTATGATCGTTCCTGCTCCGCTTCGTTCTTCTTTATCCCCAGGGTCGTTGTTTCTGGTGGGGCCGAAGGAGTCAGCGCCATCTTGCCCTCCAGCGAACCTGTAGGGGAGACAAGACCCCCCCCTGGCCCTAACCCCAGCAGATCCCTAGCACGGTCACCTGCAATCTTCTCCTCTTTCGCTTTCCTAAGAGCTGTCAAAATTAATCCCCACACTTTAAACTCCGCAACCTTTTGAGTGGACATTGCCCTCTGTGAGAGCACAGCAGTAAATGAATCCCAATTATCAGGATCATATAGGTCAGAAGGGGATGATAATAGCCCCTCCTTCTCCAGTAAGGAGAGTGTCGCTGAAATCTCCTTCTTAGAAGGAACATTTTTCCCGCAGTAAATTTTGCATGCATGCAGAATCACCTTTATAACGGCTTCCATAACGCCTATGGCCCAACTTATGCCTGGCCTCTCCTGGCGCTTCCCCTAACGTCCTAGGGGGATCCCAGCTCCTTCTCCCAAACCTCCCGCCTGACAAGGAGTAATGCGCACTCCTCCCTGTCCCCGAGCTTCCACTACTCCGTGGATTTGAATTTACCCGCTCCGCAATGGACTCCTGCTCCGTTGGCTGATTCACTCCCAGGAATCACGTTGGTCGGGGTCACCACTTGTTGCCGTAAGCGCCCGTTCCGTATTCCTGGGAGACCGCAGCTTGGCCAATTACCGAGGTGACACCAATGTGGTGAACAGCAAATGGCGTTTATTACACGTATACACTACCTTATATAGCCTAAGTACTTCGTCTACGCCCCTAAGGGCACGCACCACACATCAATCATAGAGCAGGGAGGGGGCCTAACACGTCACAACCCACGGGGGGGTCTCGCAGTCTCGCAGTTGCTGACAACACTGTCCACAAAAATAATTTTGCAGATCAAATGGTAGAGCTGCATTTCAAAAGGAATGGTGTAGTTTTATTATCAGCCCATTAATATCTTTATCAACAACTTAGGACTGAAAATTAAAAAATATCTCCCTGTCCAAATGATGGCAAGACTTTGGGTAAAGCAATGGTTGGAAACTATTAGATCTGCTTTCAAAATGAGAAATGCTTTAAATGCTGTCACTCCTCATCTTATCATAATTCTAATACCAATTCATTTTTTATGCTTGATCTTCCTAATTGTTAGATATCCTGTAAAGAGGATGATGGTGCTTTTGGGAGTAAAATTTACTCGGTTTAGGAATGCATTTTATCTTGAAATACTTCAGTGCCGATGGAAATGAACTTCAGGTTTTTTTGCTTTCTCAAATGTCCTTAGTAGGAGAGAGAACAAGAGAGCAGAGATCCCGAATCTTTACAGAACACCTTTCTGTATGTATTCTAAGGAGAATGTTGCACGTAGTGATAAATATTTATATATCTCTTAATATTTTTGCTTCCTTTGCAGTACTTTCCACATAAGAATCTGAAGAACTGTGTGTGAGCCAGTGTTGTCAGAATGATTTCAGTCCAGCCTATCTGAATCTCAGGCGCTCTGGGGGCTTCTATCCTCTCCTTGTGGCTTCTTAGAACTCAAAAAATACTGAAATGATTCTGGTCTGCAAAGAGAGAGAAGCTTCATTTCATCTGCAGGATATTTGGAACAGTCACGTTTTTATCTTCACTGCTGGCGTTCTGGCAAAGATGGCTGATTGCTGGGTTGTGGTTACTCTTTTTCATTTTTCTTTTTTTTTAACAGACAGAATCAGAATGTTACTAAAGGTATTTCCACAATTTTTTTGTATTTATGAATATTTAATACTGCTCTTACAAGCAAAAAAAAAAAAAAAAAAAAGAAAGAAAGAAAGAAAAAAGCGATTAGCTTGGGTGAATTCTCCAAGAAAAAAAAGCACGGGCCTTAAATAATGAGATGCCTCTATCACTGTGTTGTACAGCTGGGGATCTTGCATGGAAATTATCTTATGTGAAAGGACAGCAGTCAAGATCCAATTCCCAGTGTTGAAGACAACCACATCCCGGGTTTGCCCTTCAGTCACTGAAATGGCAGTTGCTGGGTTTGGTGCTTACCTTCAACTGATATTTTACGGATTGTCACGTCCTTATGAAACTTGAAATGTTTGCATTTTGGATATGATTACTGCATATGTGATTCGTTTCTTCCCAAGAGAAACTTTGAGACTGTGTCCTTGTTCTCAGAGGGAGTCTTGCATTGTACTCATTCTGTGGTCTGATAACGTTGAATAGAAGAATCCGATCATCTGTAATCCTTGAAGGAATTAAAGAAGCACAGCACTATTACTGAGGACATAAAAAGACCTTTTCTATCTAAACCAGCTATGCAATCTTTCCCATAAAGTGCATGAAAGCAGCTCAGTATTTCTCTTTCCTCTCCAGCTGGAAATCAGCTATATTTGTTCTTTTTTTTTTTAATTCCAGTACTGTTTAGGTACTGGGGCCTGAAGACAATCACACATGTATTACTGTTCTAACAGTCAATAGAAGGGCTCTGTCACTTACATGGCTTCTGTATCAAAGTCATAACTATTAAAACTTTTGACGCGTTTTGTTGTGCTTTGAGAATTTGTGGGCTAAGCACATTCACTTCCGTTCTAGTCATCATTCCAGTAACTGTAAACTTTGGTCTTTCAAGGCTGAAATATGTTATGCTCATTGAAATAATTGGTAAAGTATAGAAATCCATCATTTTGCCATTTCTGTAGGCAAGGCAGTGCTCTCCACCTTGGAACCTGTAATGGGTGGTAAGCTTGAAGCCTGATTTGCAAGTACGGATGCCCAGTATGCATCAAGAAACATTTATGGAGCAGTAGGGTTGGATGTTAAAAGCCTCAGTGGAAATTTTGAGTATCTGAGATATAAAAGACCAATTTAATCTAAACATAATGAAGATGAAGCTTCTATATCTGTAATAATATTTATTTTGGACATTTCCTAGAGTGATCATGCTTTTAGTCAGTGCTGTTTATAGTATTTTACTACTTCCTCCTCCTGGTAACTGCTTAGATAAAGGTCGTGGAGCCTGAAGTTCCTTTGATTTACGTATGCAAGTTAAAAGGTAACGCAAATCAATCCTGATACTCAGTTCTGATTGAGTAAGAAGGGATTCAAGCCTCAATCTTCTTTGTTTCAAGTAGATTAAATTAGGTAATTAGTTGATTCAAGCAGTTGGCAAGATACTGGCTTTGAGAAATTACGTTAAAATTGCCTATTCATCAAAACATCAGCCTGATAACTTCCTATTTCTTTCAAGACAAGTTTAAATCTTTGCAAGATGTTGTGTTTCTGTCCCTACTAATCTATATCATAAAATGACAGGTTGCAAGATTTGGGGTTGGGTTATTAAAAGGATCTTTATTGATTTCAAAGGTCAGTTTCCTTTGGCATCAGTGTTCTTTTTCTATATTTTAAAATTTACAGTAGCCAAAGTTCTTTCTTCCTTTCCTGACGCTGTGTGTCACTCCACAATTAATTAATTCCCTGTCTCCACTTAAGGAACACCTCTGTTGCTTTGGAATGTACTCTGTGTATTTCTTAGGTCTTCCCTGACCTCAGTGTCACGTAAAAACAGCTGAAGAAATGCTTGGTCTTGCAGTCAGATGCTTAACTTGAGCATCCATCCATGCGAACAGAGGCACCATGAGCAAAACAAACGCGAATACTGTGATGGAGCACACCTATCCACGTGTAAGGAGGAATGTTGCAGAACACGGAAGGTACGAAGTCCTAAATGTCCTTTATCTCTAGTTTGTAAAGTTTGAGTTGGACTTTAAAAGTGAAAGAACACATTTCACGTGGCAAAAAAGCTCTTAGAAGTGACTGGGTATTTCCATTTGTGCTTTCAAAAATGGACAAAGAGCAATTATCTAAAGCCCCTGTGAAACCAGGTAGTGTGAGCGTTATCTCTAGCTGATACACACACAAAGCGTTTTATGGGCAAAAGGGATCTGGTGGAAGTGAGTAGATCAACATCTAAAAGCAAGTCACTTAGTAACAGGCTTTCATGTAACATTGTTTTAAAGGAATGCCGTCAGATGGGATTCACAATGACAGCCTGCAGGTCACAGTCTGATCTCCTTCCACGTTTACTTCCAACAACTTGATTGACTTCAGGGGAACTGATCGCACGTCTGTAAGTGGATCTGCGTTGAGGGAAGCAATAGCTCTTCTGCTGCAGTTCCTTGCCCTCTCTCATACCCTTCAATGTAACCTTACATGGTGGCGGTTACCGCGTGCCGGCCTTTGGCAATGGTAACAGCCGCGTCGGATCTCCCCGCCGCGTCCGCCCTGGCCGTGTGCGTTTGCTCGCACTGCGGCTGCACTTGTGCCCCATCACCGCCAGGCGGCGCTCTCGCACCGCAGCCCGGTTTCACATCCGTCCGTCCCGTGTTCTCCGGACTGACGGTGGGTACAGCATGTCTGGATATTGAAACGGCCTTTAAATATTGAGCAGGTATGCATTTAGCAGAAATGAGAAAAAAATATGAAAAAAGAACATTTTCCTTTAGAGCAGCCCCGCAGAGAAGGACCTGGGGGTCTTGATGGATGAAAAACTTAACATGAGCCAGCAGTGTGCCCTTGTGACTCAGAAAGCAACTGGTATCCTGGGCTCGGTCAGAAGAGGGGTGGCCAGCAGGGACAGGGAGGTGATTGTCCCCCTCTACTCTGCTCTTGTGAGGCCCCATCTGATGTACTGCAACCAGTTCTTGAGCCCCCAGTACAAGAAAGACAGGGAGCTGTTGGAGAGGATCCAGAGGAGAGCCACAAAGATGATCAGGGGAATGGAGCAGCTCCCCTATGAAGACAGGCTGAGGAGCTGGACTTGTTCAGCCTGAAGAAAAGAAGGCTACAGGTGACTTCACTGCAGCCTTTCAGTACCTGAAGGGAGCCTTCAAACAGGAGGGGAGTCAACTCTTTGAAAGGGTTGATAACTGCAGGACAAGGGGAAATGGTTTTAAGTTGAGGGAGAGAAGATTTAGGTTGGATGTCAGGAGGAAGTTCTTTACAGAGAGAGTGGTGAGGTGCTGGAACAGCTGCCCAGAGAGGCTGTGGATGCCCCGTCCATCCCTCGAGGTGTTCAAGGCCAGGTTGAATGGAGCCCTGGGCAGCCTGGGCTGGTATTAAATGAGGAGGTTGGTGGCCCTGCATGTGGCTGGGGGGCTGGGGGTTTGTGATCCTTGAGATCCCTTCTAACCCTGGCCATTCTGTGATTCTGAAATAATGTAGAAAAAGCTAAGCATAGAGTTTTTGGTACCGGTATATTTGTAGAGTGGGAAATACTGTACTTGTTAGCCGGGACAGACTGGAAATGAATCGGATGTAGGTGGCGTTAATGGCAGTTGGGTGGCTGATGTCCTTAGAAAGACATGCCTGAGACAGAAGTGAAGGACATCACAAACATGTTTTGCTTCTTACTCTGTCTCATTTTACAGTTCTAGGTGTCTTTCAGAGATGTTGGTGATGCAAAGTGACTACTAGATTCTCCTTGGTGAGGAATAAGAAGAGACTCGTGGTGGTGGAAATAAAAGGACATCAGCGTTGCAGATGAGACTGCCTTTGTTTAACTGGAAGTTCTGCCATTCTTGTCTGTAAAAAGACTTTTAGAGTCTGAACTCTGAAATTCCTGCTGCCTTTTTACTTTGCTGCCTAATTTATAGGAGAAGACGACCACATCAGGCTCCTGTGTTTCGCTAAGCTGCAAAGTAGATAACTCATTTGCTTTGTTCCTTTCTCAGTTAAGATTTTCTGAGATGGAAATATGTTTCTATTTAAACCTGCGTCTTTATCTGTTCTGCATATGGTGATTCTTGTAGCAATGCTGCTGAGTGTGTGCTCACAAGCCCTGCTGCACAAACTCTGATGTACTCCCTCTTTTCCAGCTCTGTGCACCTACGGGTTGAGGCTGTATGTGCCTAAAAACATAGGCCAGAATGTTTTCATTCTGCTGGAGAGCTCTGGGCAGCAGTCCAACCTCCTCCTCTCTTACTGTAACTTCTCCCAGATGCATCAGTGGAGCTAGCAGCCTGCCAGCAGTGAGAGGTTCTGGCTGCTGCCGTGTGAAGGGGCTGGGCAGAACAGCAGCTGATGGAAGGTGTTAAGGAAAACTGAAGTCCTTTGGAAAGAGCACAGTGAAGACGCAGGTACAGAGTGTCTGTTTACATGGCAGGAAATGTTCTCTGCTCAGTCTCAAAGCCCAGTTCCTGCTGGACCAGGTTTGGCTTCTCAAACAATTTCGATCCCCAGTGCTTATGAGCTGCTCCTCACACCACTCTGGAGACAGTGCTGGCAGAAGCTCATGCTGATCATTAATAATCTGGCTTTAGTAATTAGTATTCTGGGTTACTTCACTGACACTTAGAAATAAATTAATTTTCAGCAGACATCTTTCCCTTGAGAGAAAATTATTTTCTACTTTGGAACCTGTTCAGCTGTGTCACTGTGGCCTAGCAGACCCTGAGAAAAAAAGAATGCAGGGGTTTTAACCAAAGCATTCATTTTGTTTTTTGGGAAATGGTCCTGAAGCTTTTTTACACAGTAAGATTCCACGTAAGAAAATAAAATAATAGTAATTATGAAAATGTAGATTCAGAGGGAGTTCCCTCTGTAGGAGAAATTTGAAACTGAGAGACTGAATTAGCTCAGCCTAAACAAGAGGGTTAAGTAATGTGTGCACTCTCAGAAACAAACTCAATTCCAGGACATTCACTGAAGCTTTCCATGTTTTAAAGTTTCCCTCTGTTCTGTGGTGATTTCAGTGACCATCTTTCTTCCAGTGAAAACCAGACACGATAAGGAAATATAAATATCCCACCTTGCAATTTCACACATCCTAGGAATGTCAGCAGTGCTGGACTTTGCTGCTCCTCAGGTTGTTCCCTAAACTTTGGCTTTCTGCAGAATTTGATAGCAAACGTTTCTGATGAAATGACTCAGTCCCATGTGATTCACTTTCAGTACTTTTCCATTTCCAGCTGGAAAAAACAAGCAGAATACAAAGAAAGAAGAATTGGCATCTGAGAAAGTTGGTGCATCTTAAGGTCTTTTCCTTCAGCTGGGAAACCCACAAAATTACATACTGGGTTATTAGTGCAGCAAGGCCAGCTTGAATTGCTTTTTTTTTTAACTTGCTGTGGTAATTCTGAACTTGAGGGCCTGATCTCAACCACAGGAGGTGCTCCTTCTGATTCCAGTATAGGCAGGCTTCAGATCACATCCGAGATAGACTGTGGTTAACAGATGATTATTTCTGAAGAAATAGGAATAAGCAGGCACAATCAGAGGAGGTGGAAAATACATTTACTGCAAGTATTATTATGGTCTTGTTTCTTATGAGGCAGTATGTAAAATGAGAGAAAATATTTTAGATTCTTGGAAGAGGTGATTTAAGCAGTGTTTGATAACCGTGGCCAGGAGAGCTAAAGGAAATGTATGTAACTACTTCTGTAATGAGCAGTGTGCTCTAAGCTGGATTTTTTTAGATTAATGAATTTAGAAATCTGTTAGCATGCACAAATCAGGCAAAAGCTGAGTGTTCTGTGACTCAGATTTCACCTTTGCAGACAGGGATTTCCAGGTTTGCACAGAGTCAAAATGGTACTCAGCAGTTTCCATCAGATTCCTTTGACGAGCAACATACGTTGGTGTTGGAGTTGGAGCAGGGCTTAAAGGGGATTTAAAGCAAAATTTGTGAGCAGCAAGCCTTTGGCTGCCAAATTAAGAGTGAAAACGGAAGCATTTCTGAGCAGCTTGTGAAAATTGACCTTTGGTCTTGCTGTGTTCTGCAGGACCACTGTACCTGGTATTTCCAGCCTAAAGCAAGTATCACTGATGCCCACTATAGCTTTAATTGGGTTCACTTCCCAACTAACAAGAGGAGTTCACCTCTTGTCTAACTGTGAATTCCAACATGTTATTATAATAGGTTGAGGGTTTTTGAATGTCTTTCTCAAAGCCTCTGAACAGTAGAACACAGTTCTTCCTTCCCATCTACTCAGCCAATAAACAGACAGAAACCATAGAGTACAGGGCAAGGAATGCTTTTTCTCATGCAGGGAATTGACTCCACTAGCATGCCTCAGTGGCAAGTGAGCAGCATATAGAAAGGGCCCTTTGGAATAACAAAGGATGGTCATGTCAGTTCATCTTCCACGCACAGCCGTCACCCAGTCCCTTCATCAAAAATGAAGCAGTCATTATTCAATGAAGGAATAGTTTTTTGGGGTGGTTTTTTAATTTTTGCTAGTTTTCAGCAGAGAGTAGAGCACAGTATTTCTGCAATTGATTTACTATATTGTGAATACTAGTGCAGAAACAAAGGTAGAGTGTGCAGAGAAAATTAAACCTGTCGTGTTAAAACATCCTAGAAAAAATTCTTGACTTATCTTAGTAAATTGAAGCTGAGAGGCTTATGAATCCTGTGGTGAAACTCAGAAATTCTGACTCAGTATCCTACAAAACCTCCCTGCTCTCCCTCTCCTATTTACCTTAAATTAGATTACAGATGGCTTTTTTGAGTTGTAGCTGATCTACCCCTAGTGAACCCAGTTATTTACAAATAAATAATTGTGATTCTTCATGACGCTGGTTCTTATTAATCTCCATTTTACGTCCCACTAACAAGGGGAAGATAATGAAGTGTAGACAGAGGAAAAAGAGTCAAGGACACTTCCCCAGTTGTCTGCTGATAGATTTATCCTGCCCTGAGGATGGACTTCAATCACCTCTGTGACTGCTGAGGTAGCCATTTTCTGAACTCTTTTTCAGCTTAGAAATCCTTGATAAGGACAGGAGGAAAGGACGATTCTGGTGGTAATGTGTTCATCTAGATTTGTATGTGATTTGCTTTCCATCTAGTTCTATCCTTTTAATTTTTTTGCTGATTGTGATACTGTGGCGATGTTGCTGGATACATGGTTTCTACTTGAGTTAATTAAATGATGTTGACTCCTTTTTAATTTCACTTTAATGATTTTTCTTGGCTCACAGTGGAAGGCTAGATTTTTGCTGCTACCAGCTTTGACTTATGATGTCCAGAAGGAGTTCCTGGCTGGTCTATGGATCCACATTAATTTACACTTTTTAGTGCTCCCAATGAAAGTATGACAAAGAGGGAAGGTTGTAGTCTACAAGAAATCCTGTGAAATCAGGATACATCTGTTCATTTTCCAGTCACTGCTTAGAAGTTAGCTAGTTAGCCTAACAAATATTGACAGTTCTTCTGTTTGCAGATGCAGCTCCAGTCTGTAAGTCCAATGATGCATGATCAAAATGGTTGGCTTTTGGTTGTAGAGCACATATTTCTGACCCAAACTTTTACCTAGAAGCTTTACTACCTGATATTCTTATGAGCTTGCAGAAAATGCATGTAAAAGAGCAAATGTTTGCAGTGTTTATTCTTTTACCACATCAAGGCCAACTGCAGCACAGCACGTATCTTCTTACTGAAGGATTCAGTAACAAAACAGCTTTATATTTTTACTAAGAAGCCAGATGAAGAGCGTTTTTCAGCTCTAATTCTACTCTCAGTGGTTAGTGGCTTGATGCTCAGCCTGAGATGACTGTGTCACAACCTAATTTCCAATGTATTTCCAATGTATTTAGTAAAATGCGTTCTGTAATGCATGACTGCAGAAAACTCCCTAGATGCATATTTATCAAGAAACTAGCCTGAACTGGATTTCTCCTCACCATTAGCCAGAGGAGGGGATTTAACTGTGTCTCTCTCTGTTCCAATCAGAGTTCTTGTGGTCTTGTAAAAACTGATCTTTCTAGTCCTGCAGTCTTCCACCCTCCTGTTAAAGTAATAAGAGGTTTGCTTGCTGCATGTAGCTTTAGAACAAATCTCTTACTTAGAGCTGAATAGAAATATTTACGTTTAACTACAGTTGGTTCTGCTTTTCATAAGAGCATAAATGCTCCTGTTCTTGCATATGCAAATGGTTTTAAAATAAATAGGAATGGCAAATTTGTGATGGAGTCCATGAGGAAGTGCATTTTCCTGTGATAATTTCACCCATATAAATGAATCATTCTTCCTACAAATGAGAAACCAGTATGTTTGGCAAGCAAGGCCTGAACCCCTTGTTTTAAGTGTTGGACCTTGAAGTTCATTTATGATGATAGTAATTGGATGCAATTCTCATCGTTGCCAAAATGTCTGCATGGCACACTGTAGCAAGGGTGCCATCAGTCCCAGAGGTAATGTATGCATACCAGTACAACTCTATATTTATATACACAGTTCTCCTGCCAAAACACTGCATCAACATAGCTGCTGCTGGTCTGGTGCTGTGTCGTACTGCAGTATTCAGTGTGTTCCTAAGGCTTATTCTTAACCAATGCTTCTTGTGCCAGGATCTGAATGCAGTTGATGCTAAATCTCTTCACAATTACTGCCCCACATCCTGCCCCTTTACTCTTTGCTCGTGTAGGTTTGTCACTTATTTCTTCAGGATTGTGCCTACTGTGGAACTGAAGAGTCTGAATCACCACTGAATGCACTGGCAGTAAATAAGCCATCTTAGTTGTCCTCCTCATCCATTTTTGGTTGCTGTATTTGCAGAATATGTTGCATTACGTATCCATTTTCAGTGAGATGTTCTGAAGACAGAAATTTTAAGAAAGAGAATCCAAGTTATTTGTGTTAATAAATGTCATGATTCATGCACTTCCCCAAACTCTTTCACTTCTCAGAACAAATTAATTGTTCATTAATCCATTCTTGATGAAACAGCATTTGGAAGAGCAGTTTATATGTCTGCATCTCACATTAAGCAAATAATTCATTTATGCCATTACGCAGCATTGTGATGGAGCAGCTATCTGATAACTGCTTACAGTTAACTCATGTAAACCATCAAAAGATTCCAGATAAAAATTTGATTGCTAAAGCCATTCACTGCTTCGAGAAGTTGCATATCCCACAAACTTTGTGATGAGTTCATAAATATCATGAAGGGTAATAGGAATGCATTCTAAGAACGCATTATTGCTAGCTGTAAGCCAGCTGCCCTGGGGCTGATGATGTATCAGTATGCAGTATGTTCTGTGAAGCATAGGCATTGTTTTACATCTGGTATTGTTGGTATTAGTACAAGGTGATGCTGCAAAAGGTAGTTAGGATTGGAGGTGGAGAGAATGGAAAACATTTGTCTTTGATAAACCAAATTGTTCTTGGAGCAACTCTGAATGTAAACCCACAGTTAGTCTTTAAGGACTAGCGTTTCCCTATCTCAACCGTCTACATTTTGTATCTTCTTCTAAGATACAGATCTCTTTCTATAGGCAAGCTGAATTTCTCTTGGTACTAATGTAAGAGGGCCAGAAAAACTGTTTGCCATGGCCAGGTAAACCAAGTACAGACAATGTTCTGATGTAAAGCCAACTTTGGCACATGCTGCTAGCAGAATTGGGTACTGGAGACCAGCTGTCTGCATACAGTGGGATAATTTTCCCCTGGCATTTTCTCAGATCATGTTGTGTTTTGTTAGTCTTAGGAAGGACTTGAGTTTGTTTGGGTCCAGAGGTGAGTGATGTGACTTACTCTTCATTCCGTATTCCCTTGATTTTTCTCATGCTTCCTGTCTCTTTCCAAAGCCAAAGCCAACAGTTCCAAAACAGAAACCTACGGGAAAAGCTTCCCTGGAAATGTTTGTCTTGAACAGAAACAAGCAGCAAAATACATTTCCTGCAAAATAATTTTCTTACGGGAAATGTAGCCTGTGTCCTAGACCACACGGTCTGCCCAAATCTGCATATTTTTAGATAAGCTTTTCAATTACAGACCCTTATTAAAAGCACGTGTAAGTGCCTTTCAGTTTCTCATCTTTAATTTCTTTTGAGAAATGTGTTCTCCCTTTGCTAGATCACTTGATTTCTTTCTGGCAAAGGGGTGGGTGGACCTGTGGTAAGATTGAAAAAGATTTGAACAACGCTGATTAGCAAAGAGCTCATGTGACCATTTATTGTAACTTCTAATATCTATAAGCATACCAAGCCTCACATAGTCCACATCACAAGAAAAGGTCTTTTCTTAAGCATTTAGGATAGAATTCTTACAGCTAAAGTTTGAACACTGGAAGATTTGCTCTACATCAACACCTGCTGTTCTGCCATTACAGCAAGAAGGAAGCTGGAGCACAGACTTCTCAGCTGTGACATATAATCCATGTGTGGATTAAACTGAGCATGCAATGCAGCTGAGAATTCCAGAGAATCCTCCTTCCTCCACTCTGACAGTGCGAAGGTGGGCTTTTGACCCAAGGGAATATGTATGAATTATGAAGTATTCCAATAGGGATTGCACTAACCTTCTGTTTTCTCTCTCTGCTCCTGTTTTGCAGGATGACTCTTCAACATTTCCTTCCTTGTTCTAAGAAAATTTGATTGATTGTCAAGAGTGATTTTGGGCTTCTTTCCAATGTATGTCTGGGCTCATCTTTAAACTCTTCACCCCAGCATGACTTAAGCTGCCGGTACAGAGAAGAAAATAACCTTAAGCAGGCCCTTACTATGTTACTTTTTTACTCTAGATACTGCATGTAGAACTTCTTTGAGCCATTCTACCTCACTGGATTTTTCCTAATTCTCGTAGCACACAGTGCTTCCATGTCATACAAAAAAAAATTGCAGAAGGATTACATAAAGTCTTCTGTTAAAGTCTGCCCTATGATCTACTCTTATCTTTCTTTTCATTGGGCATTTCTTTGATTATTTTTTTTTCCTAGGTTCTCCATTGGGAAGCAGAGATAAGTTACACATGCAAAGAAGTTCCACAGTAAGTAGCTGAAATAATGAAGCCTCATTGTTTCTGTGTCTCTTGCCCATTAATCTTTTTTTCTTTCTCCCCATCAGCAGTACTGTGAATTCATCTGCTTATCATCTTCAGCATTCCCATCAAACTTTGTCACCGTTCTCTACCCAGGATGGATCTGTATGAAGCCAACAATTATGTGTGTTTGAATTATCCTGCTCATTGCTACAGCAAGGTACTTCTGGCTTTCATATTCGTTAGGGGTCACTCTTTCTCCTCTACCTGCATACCAATTTCTGTCGGTTTCTTTACAAGTCAGGTTACAAATGTGTGACTAGAAAGCAAAACTGCACTGAAATGTGATTATTGCTTTTTCATAGTGAAGAGTTCTTAATGAGATGCAGTGCAACAGAAAGTAAGTGTTTTGCATCCAGTGTTTTGTACGTTCAGTGTTTTTATGTGAGGCTGTTAAATTAAGGTAGATCTTTCCAGCTGAATCAGAAAATATAGATAAGCTTCGCTGCTTATTCAAGGTTTGCATCTTTGTGTTGACAAAGAACCACAGAGGTAGAATGTGACGGAGGAAAGGAGCACCGCCTACTGGTCGCACAATGATACCGGGGAACGGAATTCTACCCCTCGTTAAAACGCACAGACGGCGCAATTCTTGGCTGATTTGTTTGTATATAAGGAAAGAATTTGTTCTGAAGTGCAGTAACAGGGTGTTCCTTATGGGCATTGCGGTGACTGGGAGGCAGGGGAATTTAGAATGATGTCTGATGCATCTGAAGGAGGATGGTTCTGGCTGTATCAGAAGCAGTAATTTGAGAATCTTTTTGCCTGTTTGTCTCCTGTGGTTTAAAAAAAAATAAAGAGTTTAGGAAAGATTGTGGTTCCTGATCTCCAAGGAATTGAAATAATAATAGGCCAAATCCATTCAGTCTTTGAAATAGTGTACTCTTGTATGCAAGTTCTTGTATGCACCGTCACTCTATAGCAGATTGAAAATGTTTGTCTTGGCATCAACAGTCACAGAGAATTGGCAAAATATTTTATTAGACCAGAATAAAAATAACAATTGGCCCTATATCTCAGCATGCATGTTTGGACTGACTGTGTGACTCAGGGCTTGCGGGGGCTCATCACCTGTGGCTCCTTTGTTCCAACAAAAAGGGTGGTTGTTCAGTGTAGGCTCTGAAAAGTACTGCTGGGTTTTATCTTTAGCTAAATCCTCACACCTTGGATGTTATCAGACAAGAGAGAAAGCCATTCTCGCTTTCTTTTCTGTGAAAGGAAACAATTTATGTTCTTAGTCATCGGTATTTTTGACTTGTGATCTCACTTTAATCAAAAGCAAGGCACATGTGTGCTGCTTGTAATTTACTGAAGCTTCCTGTGCTTCTATAAATATGATAGCATGATACTAGGATACACACTAACTCTACCCTCTGTATCTCAGTGTATGATGATACTCACGCCTTGCCCTTGCCCTCCAAAATCAAAATTTATTCAGGAATTATGAGTGCTTCTTATACTCATTGTAGGATAAATAGGTTGTAATTGTAGTGCATTAGGCCAGTCTCATCTTTTGAGAGTAGATACAGCTTCATTTTACAAGTGCAGTACAACTTGTTGAAGGCCATCGTTGCCAACAAAAAAGACCTACTAAAAAAACGGTGAAAATTTTGGGGGAAATACATTCCAGGAAAAAAAAAAAGTCAAATATTTTAATGTTTTTCAAGCATCTTAGTCTTCTTGGGTCTGTAAGCACTACGTCACTATAAACGAAATTCACGTGGCTATTGCAGTATGCTTAGGGATTACACCAAACCAAAAGGTTCACTGGACCCCCCCCCTCAACAAGAGAGAAATCCCATCTTTGAGATGCAGCTGTATTTGTTTTCCAGACTTTTGCTAGCAGCAGAATGTCACCTATCCCACTTGTGCATTCTAACATGAAGACATGAAAGGAAGAAGTGTTGTTTTCATGTATGTTTCCTGCAGCAATTGAGAGATATGCTCCTATTATTTACCACTCCACATCTGATCTGTTTTGAAAAGGTTATACACGAAATAAGGAACTGATGTCCCCAGGAAGGGGAACTTGTTTACATGAATCAGCTGTAAAAATGGGGGATTGTCCTGCTTTGTGTGTTGTAAGGAAGCTGAGCAGCAAACTGAAAAAAGAGAAGTACTAACAGCAAAAGTTTTGTGGGCTTAGGAATTGATTCTGTGAGTAGTTGGGAGATACAAGTATTGATAGCCAGGGATTCAGTGTTTTCAAGGGATTTAAAAACACAGAGTAGGAAATTTTTGAGAATTTAGGATTTCTGGATACTCTGAGGACTTCCGAATAGCAGAATTCATACATAGTACACTCTTTACAAAAACACCACTGCAAACATCAGCTCCAGCCATTGCAATAACTATATAGACACCAAACCTTTTGTGGTATCTTCCCTTCTCAATCTAAACAAGCCCATCTCCCTCAACCTTTCTTCATAGGAGAGATGCTCGAACCCCCCAGGTGTCTTTGTGACCCCCTCTGAACCTGTTCCAAAAGCTCAACATCGATTTCTTTAATTATTTGTTCGATGTTGATATATTTATTCATGAATATTCAGGCTGTTGATTCCAACTTTAAGTATTATGTGGAATGTACACTGTGAGAGTTACAGAAGTTCTTTATTAACAGTGGAAGTTCCCTGCAGTCCAAAATGGGCTGAGGAGTTCAGAGGAAAACATCCGCAGTTGAGCCTGAAATCTTCACATGTCTAAAACCTGCCAGCTGCAGCTTTTTCCCTATTGCTGCCTGTGTATTCTGTAGTTTTGTGGGTTTTTTTTGCCATAAATAATAGCAGCCAGGATGGAATTCAACAGGCCTGTCATTGGGCAGAGGGGTGATGGTTCACTGGCTGCGATGGAGCGTTGCACAGAGGTTTGGGCTGCTGGGCAGCAGCACTGCTTCCGCGACAGCTGCAGCCCCAGGTGAGCGGCTGGGGCAGAGATGAGTGCGGGAGCCGGAGAGCCCGATGTGTGAGAGCACTCCCCACGCAAAGCCAGAGAAGGGCTGGAGCTGACTGTGGGCGAAACCGCGCTGTGGCAAATACTTCTTAGTGCGGTCACACAACCACCGAGCCCGGTCGCGATACATAAGAGGCAGACAGCGGCCAAAGCGGTGGCGGGGCGCGGCGCGGCGGCAGGGTCAGCACTGCTTTCCCGTCCCAGGGCCGAGCCCCGCGCCCCGCGCCGCAGCCCCGGCCAGGCGGCAGCGCGGCTCGGGCGGCCCCGGCCCTTCCGCTCCGCCCGCAGCCGCGGTCTGGGCGGGCACTGCGAGCACTACGAGTCCCGTCAGGCGGCGCGGCCCGGCCGCTCCCAGCGCGGCGGCGGCGGGGAGAGGCGATGCCGGCGGCGGGCTCGGAGGGGGACGAGGGCCCGGCGGGGGAGCGGGCCGGGCCGGGAGCCCCCAAGCTGTGCGGCTACCTGCAGAAGCTGTCGGGGAAGGGCCCGCTGCGCGGCTTCCGCAGTCGCTGGTTCGTCTTCGACCCGCGCCGCTGCTACCTCTACTACTTCAAGGGGCCGCAGGAGGCGCTGCCCCTCGGGCACATCGACATCGCCTCCGCCTGCTTCGGCTACCACCAGCCCGAGGCCGCCGCCGCCGCCGCCGCGGGTGACGAGGCGGCCGCCTTCGAGGTGCGCGGGCCCGGCGGCGCCGTGGCCGTGCTGAAGGTAGGCCGGGCCGGGCGGCCCCGAGCGGGCACCGCGGCGCTCGGAGGGGCCGGGGCTCCCGGCTCTGCTCGGAACGGCTCGGAGCCGCGCCTCCCGGCTCCGCACGGGGCTTCCCGCGCTGCTTTCGGCCGCTGGTTTCCGGGGTAAACAGATACTTGGCGATGCGCGGTGCCGGGCAGCCCCGAGCCTTTGTGTCATCTTTTCCTTACCGAGCCTTTTCCCAAGTGCTGTCCTGCACGGAAGGGCCCTGCCCTGCCCTGCCCTGCTGCCTGGGCTGGAGTGCAATCCCTGTGAGTGCAGGCTGGAGCCCACCGCTTGTTTTGAGCAGCTGGTGCGTGGCAATAGCCTTCATCTCTGCTTTGGGAGGAAGGAGGAGGAAGGAGGATCGTTTCCTGATAGCCTAGCCGTTATCGCGTGCATCCCGCGGGCTGCAGACTAAACAGCGGGCTGGCTGACGCCTCTCGTTGTTGCTCAGACACACACACACACACAGAGCAGAGAAACAGCAGAGATACGGACAGAGATCACAAATGCTGATGCTGCACAATGTGATTGCGTGCTTTTTTTTTTTTCCAAAATGTAAGCGTTTATCAAAGTTAGGAATCATTGACATACTTTGGTAAAGATTAAATAAGTTATCCAGCTGGAAAACTAATGTGGTAATCATCATGAGTATATCTGGTTAAAGCAGATCGATGCAGTCAGCAGTTCTGCTTGTGATCACTTGTAAAAACAACTTTTTTTTTTTTTTCCTATAGCCTTAAAAGTTCTCATCACTTTCTGTGAACCTACCTTAGCACTCAGCATTCATCTTGTAGAAGTTAAAACGGCAGAGTTAACGTAGGGGTTGCTTTGTTCATTAGCTACTATTGAGTGATTTCTGTTATTTATTTTGCTGTAGAAACCTCCAAGAAAGCACATAGTGCCATGAGCAACTCGTGTGTCAAACAGTGCTGCTGCAGCAGCCCCAGGCACAGGGCTCACATTGGCCTCAGCTGCCATGCACAAGTGTAAGCAACAGGAGGTTTCCTTTTTAGTGTTTCTCTTGGTACCTTTTAGGCCATGACGTTACTCTGCCCTTCCTTTCCTTAGTTGTTTCTTGCTGTACTCTTTGGGAAAGAACTGATATGAGTTGGAGCTCTCTGCGTTTCCCTTATGGAAACTGAGAAAAGCCAAGGTTGGTTCTGCAACATGCAGAAGTAATTTTGCACCTTCTACCCCTTATATTGTTTCAACACTTGCCTTAAAGTAGCCAAGTGGTTGCCTTTTAGAATGGTATCACATCATAAGCACTTACATAATAGATAGGGAGTAAGTGAAAAACATGAGAGATGTTAGGAACCAACTGGTCTTTGGCAGTTGTGTGGTTCACCAGGGGTTAAGGCTTTTGGGGCTGGAATTAATTTTCTTCTACCCAATGTGGTAGATCTTGAAGGCCTATAAAAATACATCGTAGCTAAATTAGGTAGAAATAGGAATGAATTCAGGATAGGGAAACCAAACCGCTGTCTGTTCCAGTCCCTGCTGAAAAGAAATGTGGTTTCATTTATGAAGAAAACATTGCACACAGAGCACGAGGAAGAAAATCAAATGAAATGTTGCCTTCACCCTCTAACTCACATGCCTTATTTTCCTCAATTTGCTGCTTGTTCAGAATTTCCAGATCTCATGATCTGGTCTTTCTCATTCAGTCTTCTCAGCTGAGAAGAGCAGTAAGAAATAAGCAACTGGAATTCCAGATTGCAGTGATGGTGCTGTTCAGGAATGCATTATTTCTTCATAATGCCTCATTTTTTTGTTAATGTAATGATTTCGTCATCTGGATTGCTCAGGCTTTGTAATTTAGTGGGAACTGAGGACAGTGTGATATGCTTGTGGTTTGTTCCTCAGTTTGATAGCATCTGACCAAGAAAAAAAAATCTAGTACTGCAGCCTTCACAGCAATTGAAGTGAGTTGTTTCTAAGTTCATTTTTAAAGTAGTGTCTGTCGTGGCTTATGGCACTGTTCATT